CAGTGTTTATCCAAGCTCACAATAGCCCACATCTAGGTAGTTCATAGTTCTTACAAAATCCGTGTGTGCGGCCTCTGATTAGCTGCGGGGCGACCGCCTCCCGAGAGTCGGGAAAATCGAAAAAAAATCCCCCTCCTCTTGAAGAACAACATCTTCTCTCACCTTGTCTTCAAGATCCAGACCGATCTCTTCAAGGACACTCACGTCCTTACAATTCTTGACTTTTTTTCCTCGCCCGTCTTCCATTAGCGCCGGTCCGCGTCTCCCCCCGGGGTTCTCAGTGTATTTGGAGATTTTTTGACTTTCTGGTGTTGGGGGATTGTTGCGCGATGGATGTCACAGCCCTCCGAGATCGTGTTCAGTCTACTCTAGACGCGAATGCGGATATACGCCGGCAAGCGGAGCTTGATTTGAAATATGTACGTGCTGGATCGACTGGCGGGGCACCGGACGTCAGACTCACACGTGGTTGATATATCTAGGCCGAGACACAACCCGGATTTATCAATGGACTCTTGGATATCTTGCAGGGCGAGCAGAACAATGCAGTCCAGCTCTCTGGTAAGTTTGGTGTCTATATTAGTTGGCAAAGGAAATGCTGTCCCTTGCTGACCCGCTCACTCTTATAGCTGGTGTTTACCTGAAGAACCGTATTACCCGTGGGTGGGCCCCCGTCGAAGATAGCCCGCAGCGTACGCCGATTCCCGAAATCGAGAAGCCTAGTTTCAGGGAGAGACTTATCCCTGCTCTGGCTTCGACTCCTCCCAACGTCCGCAATCAACTGGTTCCCCTCCTGCAGAAGATTCTCCAAAACGACTTCCCCGAGCAGTGGCCGGGTTTTTTGGATCTTACTCTGCAGCTTCTCAGCACCAATGATGCGAGTACGGTCTATGCGGGTCTGCAGTGTCTTTTGGCAGTCTGCCGGGTTTACAGGTTTAAGGCTGGCGAGAAGAGAGAGGAGTTTGATAAGATCGTGGAGCTGTCATTCCCACAGCTCCTCAGCATCGGATCGAAGCTTGTTGATGAGGAAAGTCTGGAGGCTGCGGAGATGCTTCGTATTGTAGTGAAGGCTTTCAAGCACGCAATTTATGTCAGTTACCCTGATTCTAGTCTGCGCGGGGCTAGGTTATTTATACTGACTGATTGCGATTTTAGTTCGAGCTTTCTCCATGCCTACAGACCCACCAAGCGACTGTGGACTGGTGTACACTATTCTTGCGCATTGTCTCGAAGACACCCCCTGCCAGCTCAATGGCAGACTCGAAGGAGGAGAGGGAGATGAACCACTGGTGGAAGTGCAAGAAGTGGTCATATGCCAACTTGAACCGCCTATTCATCAGATATGGCAACCCTACCACGATCACGAAATCCTCTACCCCCGACTACACACCGTATGCCAAGACCTTTATCAGCACTTTCGCCCCCGAAATTCTCAAGGGATACCTGACGGAGATTGACAAGTGGGTGTCCAAGACACAATGGCTCAGCAACTCCGCACTTTCGTATACTTTGGTCTTTATGGAGGAGTGTGTCAAGCCAAAGGCCATGTGGGACCACTTGAAGCCGCACATGGATAACCTGATTGCCCACTTCGTTTTCCCTATCTTGTGCCAATCCGACGAGGATATTGAGCTTTTCGAAGATGACCCATCTGAGTATCTCCACCGCAAGTTGAACTTCTATGAGGAGGTTTCCGCTCCTGATGTTGCCGCCACAAACTTCTTGGTTTCCCTTACCAAGAACCGCAAGAAGCAGACCTTCTCAATTCTTACATTCGTAAACAGTGTTGTTAGCAAATATGAGTCTGCGCCGGATGATCAGAAGCAGCCCAGGGAGAAGGAGGGCGCTTTGAGAATGATTGGCTCGCTTGCTTCCGTTATCCTGGGCAAGAAGAGCCCGATTGCTGACCAGGTCGAATACTTCTTCGTCCGTCATGTTTTCCCCGAATTCCGCAGTCCCCATGGCTTCCTCCGTGCTCGTGCTTGCGACACCCTGGAGAAGTTCGAGCAGCTCGACTTCAAGGACCCTAACAACCTCATGGTTATCTATCGAAACATCCTGGAGTCCATGACCGATTCCGAACTTCCCGTGCGAGTTGAGGCTGCCCTTGCTCTGCAGCCCCTTATCCGTCACGATGTCATCCGTACCTCGATGCAGCAGAACATTCCCCAGATTATGCAGCAGCTTCTCAAGTTGGCCAATGAGGTCGACGTGGATGCTCTAGCCAACGTCATGGAGGACTTTGTTGAGGTATTCTCTGCCGAGCTTACTCCCTTCGCTGTAGCGTTGAGCGAGCAGCTCCGCGATACATACATGCGTATTGTTGGTGAGCTCTTGGAACGCAATGCCTCCAAGGGTGGTGACGAAGATGGCTACGGCGATTTCTTGGATGACAAGAGCATAACCGCTCTGGGTGTGTTACAGACCATCGGCACCCTCATTCTCACACTCGAGAGCACCCCTGACGTGCTTTTGCACCTCGAGACTATCTTGATGCCCGTCATCAGCATCACCCTAGAGAACAAGCTTTATGGTAAGTTTGTCAATATATCAAGCGTATGCGCGGCTCTAACTGGCTATTTTAGATCTCTATAACGAAATTTTCGAGATCATTGACAGCTGCACATTCGCATCCAAGACCATTTCCCCATCTATGTGGCAAGCTTTCGAGCTGATCCACAAGACCTTCAAGGCTGGTGCTGAGCTGTATCTCGAAGGTGAAGTTCACATAAATTCACGCGGTTTTGATGTTTTATTAACTTTTCTGCGTACAGACATGCTTCCCGCCCTTGACAACTATGTCGCTTATGGCTCCGATATGCTAGTTCAGAACCCAGCTTACTTGGACGCTATGGTTGGTATGGTGCAGGACATCTTTTCTGACGAACAGGTTGGTGGCGTTGACCGCATCTGCGGATGCAAGCTTGCTGAGACCCTGATGCTCAACCTTCGGGGTCACATTGACCAGTACATCCCCATGTTCATTGAGATGGCTATGCGGGTTATCGATGCTGGCGAGGCAAGCACCAAGTCGTACCGCATCCACTTGATGGAGATGGTCATTAACGCCATTTACTACAACCCAGCTCTTAGTCTGCAGGTTATGGAGGCTAAGGGCTGGACAAACAAATTCTTCAGCACTTGGTTCGCTAACATTGACAACTTCAGACGTGTACACGACAAAAAGCTGTCAATTGCCGCAATCAGCTCACTGCTTACTTTGAAGGCTGCCGATGTTCCGGTCAGTGTCCAGCAGGGATGGCCAAGACTGTTGCAGGGTGTGACAAGACTCTTCCAGACCCTGCCTGCTGCTCTCAAGCGTATGTTTCTCCAAGTATCCCGTCGTGTTTCCCCAAGGCTAAGAATTTATCCAGAACGCGAGGATGCTACCAAGGAGTCCGACTTCACCCTCGATGACGAGGATGATGAAGACGACGAAGACAATGACTGGGATGGAGATGTTGAGTGGGACGAAAACGAGGTTGAAGCAGCTCTTGAAGAGGGTGATGTTCACGACGAGAGTGCTGCTTATCTCGACTTCCTCAACCAGGAAGCTCAAAAATTCGGCTCCTACACCGATGATGACGATGATGACATGGACGAGGAAAGCCTTCTAGAGACCCCTCTGGACAAATTGGAGCCATATGGCATGTTCAAGCATGTCCTGTTGAGTAAGTGACATATAAGAGAGTATCCTATCACCAGCTAACCTCGATTTCAGGCCTCCAACAAGAACAGCCCCAGCTCTACGAGAGTCTGACCAAGGTTCTTGGTCACGAAGAGCAGCAGGTCATACAAGGCGTCTTCCACGAAGCCGATGCCAAGGCCATGGTCGCCGCCGCCAACGCAGAAGCCGCTGCCGCAGCGGGCATGCAGGCCAACGGCAACTAAGAGACTATAACCGAGATGGATTGAGAAAAACAAAAAAGGATTCGAATTTCCAATGCCTCGGACGATTTTTCTTTCCTCCTTCCACATTTTCCTCACGAGACCATATGCCCATTTCATGTCTTTCCCGCTTCTTTAGATCATGTCCCGTCTGCTCTGTATCTCCGTGTTTTCTTTCCTCACGTCTTTTTCATGTGATGCTCTCGCTGATGTACTCTTAAAAGTCCTACCTGTGGACATTCTGCTCGAGGGTATTCCCCCTCTTCCCCTTTCTAATCCTCTTCGATGCACAGATTCCCCTGAAGACACCCTTGTTTCCTCATGATATAGTACATCAGCCATGCTACGAATGATGGATTCCAGCTCTGGAACCTGTAGTGCCGTCGAAACCAGCCACCTAGTGGACTCGGAACTGAATCCAGATTGTTATAAGAATATTCTAAGATTACTCGTGTAGGAGTATGGAAGGAAAAAGGTGAGGTCAAAACAAAGATCGTGACAAGTGACGTCATGGCTCAGGAGCATTATCCATATTGTCGGTGGGACCTGTATCCTCGAGGCATTGTCGGATTCCGACGTCGTCGCGCACGGCTTGCTCTTGAAGTCAACGTGAATATATTCATGGCACAAACAAGTTTTACTGAGATGAAACAACGCTTAAAGAAGTGATGGTTTTGGTTCTAGAGCAAAGAAGTCAGAAGTAGCCCATAGTAAGGATCTATGGCGGCACAGACTACTCCGTACTATAACTACAATAAGGATACTTAAGTATATACCGTTAGTAAGTTGTAGGATCGTCTTGTGGTAGTTGTATGTTGTAGGCCTTGTTCCAAGTGCTACTCAACGTCATCATGATGACCCCCAATCAATGACCGGTTTAGTTGGTAACGTCAGTTGGTTTCCAGGATAAAATAAAAGAAGCACTATTCCTTAGACTCTACTGTTCAAACACACATACTCAACATCTTCATCCATTACAAGCCTACATCACTTGAAGGTCAGTACTGTCAAGATCGCCATATCTCATGAGTTCCATTTCCCTTCTTCAGTTAAGAAACTCACACTTATCCCTCTCTTCAGCACATTAAAAAACTTCTACAATATCCACAATAATGTCTGCTCCCTTACCCGGCCGTCAATCCCCTTCTCCGGAGCGCCAATCCGGCGCCCAGCAGCAGGATATCCCCGGCTCCGGCAAGACCAATGTCGGCAAGCAACCAGAACCCGTGTTATCGTCGGAGGAATATAGGGACACTGTGATGACGAGCAACCCCGAACCCCGGCTAGAGAAGATCGAGGCGGCGAAATATGCCAACGATAAACACCATTGAGATGGGGTATCTCTTGTGGATTTGGAAGGTCCTGTTTTTGAATTTCGGATAATGACATCATGAAGAATAAGCTCAAATAATCTCTTCATTTGAGTAATGTACTTAGTAAAACAATACATTAAACCTCTGACTTGAAATCAATCTTCATGTTAATTTGCTTTGCTTATTGGAGACCATAGTTATCAAAGGCTCACGTGTATAGAAAGAGCCCTAAAATCGGTTATCAGAAAGAAAAATAAACTATTGACACGGCATGACATGACATCGTAATAATGGAAAGGATAAAGTAATAGACACAAAGGAAACACGCCCAGCGCAAATCTTCATCTCCACATTAATTTAAGATCTCATTCCAATAATCCCTTAGGACTTCTCAACAGGCGCAGCAGCAGCCTCGGGCTGAGAAGGAACAGCAGCGGGCTGAGCAGCGGGCTCAGTAGCAGGCTCAGCAACAGCAGCAGGGCCAGGGGCAGCGGCAGCAGCCTCAGTCTTACCCTGCTTCAAATCCGCCAGACGACGGGCCTCGGCGTGGATATCGCGCACCTGCTTATCGGTCTGAACATAAAAGTCGCGCAGCTTCTGGCCAGAGGGGGACTCCAGGGCCTTCTCGAAGTACGAGCTCAGGCCGCGCCAGCCATTGGCTGCCTTAGTGGAGATCTGATAGTCGTTATCGATGCCCTTGGCGCGCTCGGTGGCATTGTACTTCTTATCGAAGTTGGTGAGCGCGGTCGTGAAGCGGTGCGAGACACCGTGCTTCTTGTCCAGCGCGATCGCCTTCATGATGGCATTGTCGCTCACTACGTACCCGTGCGCCAGGTACTCTGCGACGATGCGCGATCGGGGCTTGTCTTCTTGCGCGATGTGCTCCTCTTCCCGGGCCTCGGTCTCCGCGTCGGTGACATGGGATCCGCCTATTTCTTCGATGTTGTGGGTTGCTTCAACGTGAACGGCAGAAGTGCCCAGTTGGGTCTGGTCTAGGAGGAGGGCAGTCTTGGCTGCGCTGTTTTAGAAATTGCGTTAGTTTGTGTTGATGTGGGCTGATTGCGGGCTGAAACTGGGTGCGGGGTAGCTTACGCCTCCTTTTCGAACGTCACAGTGGCGGACTTCGGAGCATCGGCCTCCCCAGAGACTGGGGTGATGGAGAGGGTGACAATCTTTCCGCTGTTTTATGTTAGCACTTGGTCAAATAAAAAAAATCATTGTAATAATGTACCAGAAGCTGAAGAAGTCGCGAACCTCCTTCTCGGAGGTTGTTGACGAGATGCCAGAAACGTGGACAGTGGAATTAGCCATGATGTTAGGTAGAGGATAAAGGAAGAATCTTGCGAAGGAATCTAAACATCTCATCATTCCCTGGTGGGATGCGACTATTTATCTAAGGGGGCCACTGCGCCACAAGGTGACGTGGTGACGTATGGCGGGGCTGTTGCACCGCCTCACGTAGTTAATTTCGTTCTGGTTTCTTCTACTCCGTAGTGTTTGTTTCATTGGACTACATGGTCTTCAATGGGGCTGCCTGAAATTGCTTTTCACATGTCAGTTTTATAATTTCGATGAATGTGTTTGCCTGCAAACCTAAGATAAAAATGTTGCGCAATGCGAAAGAATGATATGGGTTGGAGTGGAAATTGAAAATCAGGCCTCAATGATTCTCTCAGATGGTGTGGCAGAAGCCTCACTGGCCGAATCTTCCTTTTGCCTCTTCAAAGTCTGCTCCAGATCTCGGACCCGCCTCCTCAGCTGCTCATTCTCCCGCTTCATGTATTCCACTTCCAACTTGTGATGTGCAGCCTCCTCAAACCGCGACAGGGAGTTTCCGGGTGAATGGCCTTGCTGGGTCTGTGAGACCGAGCTCCGTTGTGGGTATATGTTGCTGTTGTGAGGGAATGAGGATAGTGACCCCATAGAGGGTCGGCGAGAGGTGAGGGATGGCTCGCGACTGCGAACCGTTCGAGAATGGTCCGGGCGATATTGAATATCCCGCGAGGGAGCAATTCCAGTGACACTTGCAGACTGCTGGCCCTGGCTTGCTGAAGTATGTGAACTGAGACTCGAATTGGATCGGTTTCGTCGCGCGGAGTGAGATGGGGTTGAACTGCTGAGGGCGGGTGATGCCCGCGCACCATCTGCCTCGTTAAAAGTTGACGTGGAGGATGTCGTCGATGCAACAGATGCTGTCTGCTGGCGAAGAATAGATAGCTCTCGAGTCAATCGATTCACCTGCGGAGAGTTTTGACGCGTCAGCAGTTGAGGGGTAGATATACTTTTGGCGCTCTGGGATCCCACTTACAATCGCTTCTTGCTCTTTCTCAAGCACTAGATGGAGATCCGAAGGCGTCAGCGGCTGAGGATGACGCAGTGGCCCTTGTTCTGTTAGTCGGGGAGCTCATCAAAGTGACGCCTGCCACTGGCGACTTACCCTGAGCGGTCCTTGTGATGCCATAATCCCCCGTTCCAAGCGGTGGGCTTCCTGGGGGCGGAAGTGTTACAGAAGTATGGGAACTGTGTACTGGTTGTCGGGATGTTGGAGCCTGCGATGCCATAGCGGGTGCCGTCGTTGCTGCAGGAGGTTGTGCCATAGTAGAGTCGGAAGCAGCGCTCAAGTCAGGAGCCATGGCTGTCAGGTATGTTCTGATGATATTGCTAAACGTTAAGTTTGCTTTCCCGCACTCGCAGTCAGCATGTAAGTCGCAAGGACTGAAGTATAAATGTTTCAGCCTTGAGACAATAATCAGGAACAGTCAGATCCTAGTCCAGAATTAGATCAAAACACCCCTTGATGCAATTCCAGGGATATTCTTGAAACATACCAGTTATGGAGGGGGTCAAAGGCCTGCTCCTTCAGGGAAAGGAATCGAGAAAGGCAAGAGAGAAATCCGAAAAGTTGGGCTTCTCTCTTGCCGTGAGATGTCTTATCCTTTGTCGCTTTGATTGGGCCGTGCCCGTAATCTGCATCTACTGGATGTATGTACGTACATGTACATGTACCTACGTTGTACTCCGTAGCTCTAGATAACATGGCATTCCAGACATATTGGATGAACATTCACACTATTTGTCTTGCGAAAAAGATCGATACGCTACAATGACTGTCGGATAGGTGTCTCATGGCACATTCCATGAATATATATGTTAATCTACTGGCAAACATCCAAATGAACGGGGATTGTACAGAACAGACATGGTGCTCAGGCCCACTTTGCGGCATATTGGATGTCTCAATTAGAGCTGTCCAATAAATCGAGCAATAATCGACCCAAGGGCCAATACATTGTTGATCGGCGTCTTTAAGCTCCTGCCGGTTCCTGAACGTCATACCCATCATATTATAGATGCTGGACTTGCAAAACAATAAACTCCACTGCGGCACTGGCCCGGGAGACGATCTGCATGTTACATAAGCCTGCCAACAGCCCGCCGTGAAAGAGGTAAACAACTTCGATCTCACGAGATCGCTGTGGATTGTGCATTGTGTATTGTGGCAGTGAAGTCTTCCAAGACCTGTCAGGGTCTCGGCTTCTAAGGTTGACTCTCCAGATATCCAAGCTTGTCGCTTCAAACCCTCACTTAATGAAACCATGGCCCGATCCAACGCTCCTGACGCTACCCACATTCCACACATCCTGAAACCACTTGCTCCTTACGTCAGATCGCGCCAGGAAACCCTTCATATCCGCCAGGCACTGACGTCTTATCTTCGCTCATTTATCGAATTCAACGATCAGTCAAGCGATCTTGCTCAATCCCACCTCTCCCTGTGCGCGTCGACCGATGCCGTTACCAATGTCAAACGCATCCCTGCCGATCTTCCTGGGCTGAGAAAGGATTATCTCAAGGCATTGGCAGCCAATGTTGCCGCCCGCAAAGAGTTCGCCTTGGCGTCTGAGGATGTCGCCTCTTTAAGGCGCCAGCGGACGGCCCCGAAAGCCCCTTCTGACGATGCTGATATGCAAGAGCCCGGCACCGAACTTCGCGAATACCTTGCTCTCCTACGCGATCGACGCCGCCATACCAAGCTGCAGGTGTTTCAGAATTATCTTGAAGAGATTAGAACCCGCGATTCGGGGAGCGTGGAGGACGTTGGCAATAATAGCGAGCAAATTCTGTTGCCGGAGGCAGATGCGGAGGTCGGGCGCAATGACACTGAAACGGGCTTGGATGAACTAGTGCATAGCCTCGAGAGAGCAGTTGTCTGCGCGAGGGCTCAATTGGACCGCCAGAAGCAATTATTTGAGAAAGCCAAGGCACAGCATGATCCCCAAGCCGAGACTGCAGATACCAAAGCACAGGCATTACAAAGGACCCGGGATGAGCTAGTACAATGGGTGGAGGAACGGCTGGTTGGTCAAGGGGATCCAGATGAGAGTCTGCTCCAAGAGCTTCCTCCGGAGGACATCGAGGAGGCCCAGCGAGGGCTAGAGAATCGCAAGATACAGATTGCAGAGCAATATGCCGCATATCTACAAGCCCGGCGAGATCTCCTCGACGCCGCGTCCAGAGCTTGTCAGCCAGTCAATTTGACCCAGAAGCCTCCGTCACGAACAACCAACAAAATCGAACTTTCCACAGCAGAAATGCCACCTCCTAACCCAATCGACGTTCTGTTATACACAAACGAAACCCTGGTCCCGCTATATAAGAGTCAGAAGTCGCTGGCTCTCCAGAGATCCTATCTATCCGGGTTACTGTCAAAGGAAAAATCCACGACCCTTCGCGCCCTCAATCGTCTGAGCGATGAATCCCACCTACTCCCCGAATACCCCATTCTCGCCCGCCAGCCGCGCTTTAAGCATACTCCTACTCTTGGCTCGCGAATCCAGACACAGACCTCCGAGCAGACCCCGGATGAGGTCGTTGGTCTTGCTGAGGCATGGGCATTTGCCTCTAATGCTGCAGCTGCCAACGGAAAGGAGTTTGTTCAGCAAAAGATCGCATTAGGTAATGAGGTTGCGCAGGACGCCCGACAAACCTTGGCTGAAGTATGTAAAACGCTCAATCAGGACCTCGATGAGGTCATGCTGGAGGGTCGGCAGAACCGAGATGGGTCGGATTTCTGGGCCTCCGAAACTCGCTCTCCAAAGGGGATGTCGAGGGGTGGTGGGTCTCGGATTGAGAAACAACCGAGTGGTCCTTGGTCACGTCTGAATGGGAGAGTAGGGGTTGCGGAATAATTGTACAGTGATGTATGTAGTATAATAGCTTTTTTAAATGTACAATATACCATATACTCTATCGGCTCATTACAGCGTAATCCAGCTATGTGCGTTGGTCTTTTGGTGTAGCTCTCGAGGTTGTTGGGGTTTGTCCGACGGAGTAAGAGGATCATGGAATCGAACTCATACATACATACTCAATTCCATTCTAGCGCGATAGTTTACTTGGTAGTAGTTGCTATTATAGAGCTTGTTCTGTTCGCCTGTGAATTCTGTGGGTTGTTTTTAGTATCACGATTGGATGGTATATGAGGGAGTAAGAGCTGAATATATATAGAGTATCTCATTTGTATATTCTTTCTATTCTCCACGAGTAGGACATATCACTACAATATCTCTGCTAGAAATGCACATACAGCCTAGTATACCAATTGCAGCAAAGCTATCGAGTAATATCCGAGGTAAATTGGCTAAGCAGTCGCCAAGGTTGGGGGTTTACCCAGAAAGATGAGTATAACAACATCTATAGATCTCTCATAGCATTCATGTCTCTCGCGTCTTTATCCATGATGCTCGGTTATTAGTTAGAGCTGTATATGTACAAAGCCTATCTTTGGCACCCAAGTATTGTCAATATATACTCCCATTCTCTAGCAACCATCGATAGGCTCGTACTTCTCGCCATATCCACTAGTCTGAACAATGGTATACCAGTAAATGACAGCTTCCTTCCTATATTTGCTATGCATTTTCCAGTGAATCTTTAGGATCCACCGCTATCAACTTCGGTATGCTTATCCCATGCAAATGCAATGGCCATAGAGGCATCTAAGTTTTCGTTTTTAATGACGGCAATGTCAGAACGGACAACATTAGCACCAGCGCCATCGTGTCGCCAGTCACAGCCGATGTAAGGTTGCCTTTTTCCAGCCAATCTACTGTCAATTAGGGTTGTGGTGGGAGATCGTAGCTCGATGTTGAGAGATAAGAGATAGGGTTGAGGTCCGGCATCGGCATTTCCAAGATTGTCTGGAGGGATATGATGTTCTTGGAAGCTCCAATTGCCTATACACTCTACATCTTCTATATACATGAAAGGTAGCTATGGCAATAGACAATTACCAAGGCTTTAATTAGTATACACCGGGGCATACAATTTAGTATAAGAAAGATAGCCGAGAGATCGTCTCCACATCCAGGTTTGACTCATCGCCACCAACTGAAAAAAAAAGAGATTATAATAAACAAAAAAAGGGGAATAATGAAGCAAATATAAAACCCAACCTCTTCATACTAAATTATCAAGATTCATTATTAGATCCTCCCGATCTACGCTGGTATATAATCCCCAATATCCCCCGGCTTTCCCTCGTTGGTCTTCAAAAGTGGAGCCGTATACGGTGGACGGAACAAGCCAATTAGCGACTTCGAGGCGGAAAAAAAAGAATCCCAGCAAAGTGTAGACTCATCCTCAACACATCCCTCAGCAATTGAAACATTACCTTCGGTGCGCAATGGCTCTCGCTGCTCGATGTGGGCAGGCGGCCGCTCTGCTGCGCCAGCGCTGCATTGCTGAAACCCGACCAGCACTTTCTCTGCGCGCATTCTCATCTCAGTCCGTCCGTTCAACGGCCTCCACACTACGCCTGCAGAAGATCCCCACGGCTCGGTCTCAGCAGCTCCGTTCTTTCTCTAGCACATTGAACCGCCTGGCTGCTGAGAGGCCCCCGGCTGCTGAGTCTTATCTCGCTAGCGGTGCTGTGTCGGCAGGTAGCAACCTCGTCGATGTCAAGAAGGTCCTCGTCATTGGCAGTGGTGGTTTGAGCATTGGACAAGCTGGAGAATTCGATTATTCTGGTAAGTTGCAATCACTTGGAGATGAAATTTTCGATCACATCGCCCTGTCAGTCCCCATGGGGGTTGCGTCTGCACGAGAAGCTTTTCTGTGGGGAATACAGAGAGCTTGAAAAATGATCGCTAAAAATCAATCTAAATGAGAACTGTAACTAATCTTTTGACTGTGCGATAAAATAGGCTCTCAAGCACTCAAGGCTCTCAAGGAAGCTGGCGTCCACTCGATCCTGATCAACCCCAACATTGCGACCATCCAGACCGACCACAAGCTTGCGGACGAAGTCTACTACCTCCCCGTCACCCCCGAATATGTTACCCACGTCATTGAGCGCGAGCGCCCCGATGGTATTCTCCTCACCTTCGGTGGTCAGACTGCCCTGAACCTGGGTGTGCAGATGAACCGCATGGGCACCTTTGAACGCTACGGTGTCAAGGTTCTCGGCACCCCCATCAAGACCCTGGAGACTAGTGAGGACCGTGACCTCTTCGCCCAGGCCTTGAACGAGATCGATATTCCCATTGCTGAATCGACCGCTGTCGAGACTGTCGAGGACGCTCTCAAGGCTGCCGAGCAGGTTGGATACCCCATCATTGTTCGGTCTGCTTACGCCCTCGGTGGCCTGGGTTCTGGCTTCGCCAACAACCCCGATGAGCTCCGTGACTTGTCCTCGCGCTCTCTGTCTCTGTCTCCCCAGATTCTGGTCGAGAAGTCCCTTAAGGGCTGGAAGGAGGTTGAGTACGAGGTTGTCCGTGACGCTGCCAACAACTGTATTACCGTTTGCAACATGGAGAACTTCGACCCTCTCGGAATTCATACCGGTGACAGTATCGTTGTTGCCCCTAGTCAGACTCTGTCTGATGAGGAGTACCACATGCTCCGCACTGCTGCTATTAAGATTGTCCGTCACTTGGGTGTCGTTGGCGAGTGCAATGTCCAATACGCTCTGCAGCCCGATGGACTCGACTACCGTGTCATTGAGGTTAACGCTCGTCTTTCGCGTTCCTCCGCCCTGGCTTCCAAGGCCACCGGTTACCCGCTTGCTTATACCGCGGCTAAGATCGGGTTGGGACATACTCTTCCCGAGCTCCCTAATGCCGTTACTAAGACCACCACTGCCAACTTCGAGCCCAGTCTGGACTATGTTGTCACCAAGATTCCCCGCTGGGATTTGAGCAAGTTCCAGCACGTTAACCGCGACATTGGCTCCGCCATGAAGTCGGTCGGCGAGGTTATGGCTATTGGCCGTACCTGGGAGGAGTCCCTGCAGAAGGCCATCCGTCAGGTTGACCCTCAATACCTTGGTCTCCAGGGTGATAAGTTTGATGACCTTGACGAGACTCTCCGCAACCCCACTGATCGCCGCTGGTTGGCTGTTGGCCAGGCTATGCTCCACGAGAACTACTCCGTTGACAAGGTTCACGAGCTGACAAAGATCGACAAGTGGTTCTTGTACAAGATCCAGAACATTGTGGATTGCAACAATGAACTCAAGGAAATCGGCAGCCTCTTCGGCCTCAAGCAGGAGATCCTGATGAAGGCTAAGAAGCTCGGTTTCTCCGATAAGCAGATCTCTCTCCTGGTTGGATCTACCGAGGATGATGTCCGTGCTCGCCGTAAGTCCTTCGGCATCACTCCTTGGGTTAAGAAGATCGATACCCTTGCTGCCGAGTTCCCCGCCGATACCAACTACCTCTACACTACCTATAACGCTTCCTCCCACGATGTTACCTTCGATGACCACGGAATTATCATTCTTGGCAGCGGTGTGTACCGTATTGGTAGCTCCGTTGAGTTCGATTGGTGCGCTGTTAACGCTACTCTCTCCCTCCGTGAGATGGGCAAGAAGACCGTTATGATTAACTACAACCCCGAGACCTACTCCACTGACTTCGATACCGCTGATAAGCTGTACTTCGAGGAGCTCAGCTACGAGCGTGTCATGGATATCTACGAGCTCGAGGCGTCTAGCGGTGTCGTTGTCTCTGTCGGTGGTCAGCTTCCTCAGAACATTGCCCTCCGCCTGCAAGAGAGCGGTGGTGCTACTATTATGGGTACCAACCCTCTGGACATTGACAAGGCCGAGGACCGTCACAAGTTCTCCTCTATCCTCGATAGCATTGGTGTTGACCAGCCCGCCTGGAAGGAACTGACCTCTGTCGCTGATGCTGAGGTCTTCGCCGACACTGTGGGTTACCCCGTCTTGGTTCGTCCCAGTTACGTTCTGTCCGGTGCCGCCATGAACGTCATCTACGGTGTCGATGAGCTCAAGGAGAAGCTCTTGAACGCCGCTGCCGTTTCCCCTGATCACCCCGTTGTCATCACCAAGTTCATCGAGGGTGCCGAGGAGATTGATGTGGATGCCGTCGCTTCCAACGGTAAGCTGCTTGTCCACGCTGTTTCCGAGCACGTCGAGCCCGCTGGTGTTCACTCCGGTGATGCCACCCTCGTCCTGCCCCCCGCTACCCTTGAGGAGCCCATCATGGCCCGCGTCAAGGAGATCGCCGAAAAGGTCGCTAAGGCCTGGAACATTACTGGCCCCTTCAACATGCAGATCATCAAGGCCGACCAGGAGGGTGGCGAGCCCGCGCTCAAGGTTATTGAGTGCAACCTGCGCGCCTCTCGCTCCTTCCCCTTCGTCAGCAAGGTCCTAGGTACCAACTTCATCGACGTCGCCACCAAGGCTCTCGTCGGCCGTGATGTCCCCGAGCCCGTCGACCTCATGAAGGTGAAGCGTGACTACCTCGCTACCAAGGTTCCCCAGTTCTCCTGGACCCGTCTGGCTGGTGCCGACCCCTTCCTGGGCGTCGAGATGTCCTCCACCGGTGAAATTGCTTGCTTCGGTAAGGATCTGATCGAGGCATACTGGTCTTCCCTCCAGTCCACCATGAACTTCCGCGTGCCCGAGCCCGGCGAGGGTATCTTGCTCGGCGGTGATACCAACCAGCCCTACCTGACCAGGATTGTCGACTACCTGCACCCTCTTGGCTACAAGTTCTATGCCGTCAACCCCGAAGTCAAGGCTCACATCGAGTCCACCGCCCAGAATGACGTCTCCGTGAAGCTGATTGAGTTCCCCAAGAAGGACAAGCGTGCTCTCCGTGAAGTGTTCCAGAAGTACGACATCCGTGGCTGCTTCAACCTTGCCAAGACCCGTGGCAAGACCCAGCTTGATGAAGACTATGTCATGCGTCGCAACGCTGTCGATTTCAGCGTGCCTCTATTCATGGAGCCTAAGGTATGTTCAAAGAGCTGATACTCCATAATTATTCAACTTGCTAACTGATCCTCTACAGACTGCCCAGCTCTTTGCTCAGTGCATGAGCCAGAAGCTGCCCCGCGCCGAAGGAATTCCCTCCGAGGTCCGCACCTGGGCCAACTTTGTCGGCGGCAAGGCACTGTAAATCTCTCTTTTTTGCACACAGTGACAGAAGAAGAGAAAAAAAACCCCACCATGTCGAGATTAAGAGAGAGGAAGTCAACCTCTCTTTTCCCCTCGATATCCCATATGGCCTCCCCAGGTCCTCCCGTCATGATTTTCCAATATAGGACAGGATTCAAACTTCCTGTACGGTGTAGTGGGTAGGGCAATCTTGTTGATAGATGGCGCGCATTGTCCTTTTGGCCTTTTTTAATTATTGTACTCGGATTGGAATATTGTCTTTTCCTTATGAATCTTCGAATTGTTCCTCGTCTATACTCTCTGCTCTACGGCCGATCCTATACGAATTTGACCTTTGAGATATTTTCCGTACTCCATACTTGTGCATAGCTATATTCAGGGTCCTATCATTATTCATTTCCAGGGGCTCAGCCACAATATTAGTTTAGGCTAGGAGGGGCTTGAGCCTCCTGTGGGCGCCAATCAGAAGGACGTTGATGTCTCACTTGAAAGGGCTTGATAGGGTCCACGGGTCCTCGTGACAGCAATCTTTGCCGACCTTTGCGACTAATGACTTCTATTCTATTGTCCTTGAGCCATCATTTTGTTGCCTTCAAATGCCACCTTGAACTTCTTCACCTTCAAGATAGCCTAGGTCTTGACTGATGCTTGTAGGTCACAACCATAGGCCCTCAAGATCTGTACCGATATGTCTTTGGTTCCTTACCACAGCCCTTAAACGAAATTACTTGTCAGTGCCAAGTGCCAAGTATAGCGCTTGTATACGAGCGATGCTTGGCTTGCGGAACTCTGTAACTCTTTTTAGGCCCATCGGGCACGCTAGTCATGAGCTAACATAACAGTGACTGTGAAAAACTTCCCCTGCTTCCTAACTCCTTTTCTTCTGCCCAACCCTGTTCTCTCTATTCTCACAACCTTGAAATCCCTCATCTTCGAATCCTGCAAATATGCGCTCATCTTGGTTCCTCGTTTCTCTCCTAGCGGCTCTGACTACCGCTGATGAGCCCAGCACAACAACCGTCAGCTATTTCGGAATTGACAATCCCTACGGCGCCAATATCGGCGCCTACTCCAGCATCGCAGCCCGAGTTGCTGGCATCGACAAGTACGCCACGACCTATGAGATCGCCTGCATGGCAGGCGCATCCAAGTGCGCACTGAACCGCCCCGCAACCCTGATCCAGGGCGATGCGACTTACAGCGTCTCCCTGGAAGTGACTGTCGTGACCAAGGGTGCGACTGCTCAAGCGACCGCAGTCGAGTCATGCAGTTTCACCCGCCTTTCTGAATCTGCTCGTTGCACGTGGAAGTATGAGTACACTGCCTCCGAGGGTGATCACACCATTTCCGATTCCACCTCGAGCACACAATCCATCCCGTCGTATTCGGTTATTTATCACCCTCTTACTGTCACCGATGGTATCTACGCTTTCAAGGCTAATGCGACGGGTTCGACTACACCGGTGAAGATTACTCCTACTGCTTCTACTGCTGGTGCTGCGGCTGCTGCCAAGCCTCTGATCACTGCTGCACCGTTGGGCGCTGTTGCTGCTGCTGCTGCTTTTGCGGCTATGCTCTAGGTCTTGAGTTTGGTTCTTTTCATGTTCTTTTCATGCCTGATGTTTAATTTATTGGGACTTGAGTCTCTGGGTTTATACACTTTGAATGAGCTATGCTATATGTCCACCTAGTAATTTACCTAAATAGCGCCTCGAATCTGATTCTTTTTGGCTCCAAATATTCATCTTGATTGGTATGGCTTTCTGCTTAAAAGGATTTGTAGGAGTATTTCTTTGCCCGATTCATACCATGTCGCGACTTTGCATATAAAGATAGAGCTGGTTTCTAGCTTCTGTTAAGCTGAATTGGCAAGCAGTAAAACCACAAGGGAAATCTCAATGTCTTCCATGTGACTGCTCTTTATTGTGGTATGTTGGAGATTCTATTAATCTTCCACTATTAATGCCAAGATATTCAAATACAATGGCGAATATTCACCGCCCTGCCCGTGTGGACGACTATCCACTCTAATTGTTATATCTTCAAACATTCTTATTCCTGTATTCAGATCACCTAAAATGGCATCAAGAATTGCACTACCTTCGGTAACGACCAGAACGGTCCCACAGCCTGCCCCCAATGGCCTGGGTAACGGTCTGTTTGCGACAGCCGACATCAACCCCGGTGAAGATGTTTTGCACATCAAAACACCATTTGTGGCGGTTCTTGATTCCCCACGTTTAGAGGACACTTGTGCTGGTTGCTTCGGAAAGAGACAGGTAGAAACTGGAAATGAGTTAAAGGCTTGCACGGGATGCCGTGTCGTGAAGTATTGTGATCGGGTGAGTTGCTAATGGGATATACGATATACTGTTTGCTGTCTCATATTTCTTGTCCTACCAAAGATTACTGGTTTGATATTCTAATATTTGATTTAGGTATGTCAATCTAAGGACTGGAAGTTCGCGCATTCTCTTGAATGCCCCATCTTCAAAAAAGTCAAGCCTATGGTTCTTCCCAACAATGCCCGTGCTCTCCTACGTGTAGTACTGCGCACTGCGCGTAGCAAATACGACGCTGAAGAGTTCAAGGTCTTTGATGGCTTGGAGACTCATATCAACGAGATATCAGAGAGCCAAGGCCAGCTTGATAGGATTAACCTGACGGCAAGAGCTGTCAAGAATTACTCAGGGACGGATGTGGATGAAGGAACTATCGCTTCTTATGCTGCCAAGGTAATTGGTTTTAGCCTTACACCTTTCATCGCGGACTTTTGTCTAACTATATCATAGCTTGATCTCAACTCCTTCAACCTTACCACCTCCATGTATGACCGCATTGGCCTCTACATGCATCCATATGCCGGCCTGATCAACCACAGCTGCGCCTATAACTCCACTGTGGGATTTGATGGTGAAGAACTATACGTCAAAGCTATGCGTCCTATCAAAAAGGGCGAGCAAATATTCATCTCCTACATCGACACCACGACACCATACGATATCCGTCGCAACGAATTGAAAGAACGCTACTTCTTTGATTGCCAGTGCACAAAGTGCCAGATGGGAACAGATACCATTGAAGACCGGTTCTTGTCTATACCTGAAGACATGACTTCCCTAGAGACAGCAGAGCGTGAAGCCCTAGAACTCATGCAGAAAGCAACAGCAACCAGCACAGAGCCAGCAGACGCAATCGAGAAATTAGAAGCTGCTATGCACAAGCTCCATGAAACTGCGCTATGGCCTCTCACCCGTCAGCCATATGCTTCTCTGCGCGACAAGCTCATCATATCTCTGCTAACGGCTGGTAAATTCACCCGGGCATTCATCCACGCTGCCATTCGATACCTGCGAATTGATCCTGTTGTCTATGACAAAGCCCATCCAATCCGACACATCCATGCATGGAGCCTAGTCAGGCTTACTGTTTTTATTTCTCAGGAGGGCTTCCAACCTGACCCCAAAGACCCTGTCCAGATTCATGACTTCAAGCTGAACTTTCACTACTTGATATGGTACATTCTCGCCGAACTTACTAGCACCCAAGCGGAGAGCTGCACCGTGCCTAGCTTCAAGAGGCTTGTTGGAAATCAGTTTCTGCAGGTTCACAATGAGTTCAAAGCCAATGGCATTGATCCTAGCAAGACCAAAGCTGTTCTCTCCGCTGAATGGAACAAGCTTGAACGTCTTGTTGATAAGGCTCTAGAGAAAGAGTGAAATACTCTAAGCCATTTGTTTATTCTACAAAATTCGATCAAACTGCAACACCGCCAGCCCTAATTGAATAGACCCATAACAAGACAGTAGTGCCCGCGTGCTTAATAGTCCCCCACCTCTTATGCATGAGATGGCAGGAGCGACTACGAGCCGATGCCATTTGTATACTTTGTCGCCCCTTCGGCTCTGAAGTCGGTCGACCCTTCCTCTTTGGGCCGTAAACAGCCCGCATCCCATCCCATTTCTCTTCTCTTCTGCTTTTTTCTTTCTCCCTTCACTTCCTCTTCACTTTCCCTCTTCCTTTCTCCTTCTTTTTCATTGCACACAAAGGCAATTTGATAACCAAAACAACTTGCAAAATGGATGCCTTCGAGATGGTTTCCTTGTCGGGCCTCTGGTCCATGGAGAATGGACCTCCGACTTCCCGTTCTACCGATGAGGTTTGTGTCTCTCTCGAGACAGGTAGTTACCCCCGCTACGGGCTCAGCCGTCAGGCTGCGACCTCCTGGTTTGCCGACATTAGGATTCCGGTGATTCCCCCCACTTACCAGCAGATCCCAGGGTATGAAGCCCACCGTCAGCGACAGCAGGCTCGCGCGCTCATGGGCTCGATTGCGGCGCGCCGGGGCAAGCCTACCCCCGCCCCAATCTTGATCCGTGGTGATGCTCCGAGTCTTCTGCCGCGCCGGCGACGTTGGTAAGTCCATTTAACTTAATTTTTACCTCTTCCAGCCTTTGTTTTCTTGGTTTAAGTTCCATCCCAGTTCTTCTCGCTTCTTTCTCGCTTCACATGTTCTATCTAAGATGGATTGGACTCAGCTGACTTTTGATTCTGATAGGGTCCCTGGGTGTCGCTTGTGCTGGTGACTTGGCTGGAGCCAGAGTTCGGCAGCTAGCCAATAAGTGAACTTGGATTTTTTCTGGGTGAGCTTTCTGCTAGTGCTTTCGGTGAAGATGGTAAGGGGGGGGGTTTCTGTAGTGTGGGGGCTGATGCTCGAGGAGGAGTTGACTGCCCATTGGTAAGGCTTGTGTCTCTCTGGTTTAGTCTTCAGTTCTGATTCCTAACAATATGACATATAGGCCTCGTGGCTTTAAGTTCTGCTCCCTGGATTGGTGCCGAAAGCTATCAGAAACGCCTTTATCGATAGTTTCTGCAGCCCGAACCATGCAGAGGAAGTCAAGAATAGCAGATCCAATAAAGATTGCCTTTGACCACCGGGTACGAGCTCGTCAACTGGTAATTTCATCTCTTCCACCTATAGTTTGGTTCCCAATGTTGATTCATCGATGTACAGTTGGAGCTTGGTTAGGTAATATCTCCGGGGCTTGGTCTGGTTTTCAGTACGAGGTGCACGCAGTATGGTGAGTCTGATGCCTCTCCAGGGCTCATATGTACTTCAAGCTCTGACTCTCAAGGACCGAAATAGTTTCGCCACCTCTACGATATTCCGCTATCGCCAGCCTTTACATGAACCAATTCCCATGCAACACCTCCTCTTTTACGAATTCGTCTTTTCTGCGCTGCCCCGTCGCAGCTCACATGTGGACTGCTGAAAATAGCTATCATGCCAGACGCGCCAAAATGACTACAAACGGAACCTATCCTGTCTGCTCTGAGAACTGCAGTGATCCCAATACCTGGAAAAAGCAAATTGCTACTGGCTGCTGTGGGGTGATTGGACTAGCTACTCTGGGGGCTGTTTTGGATTGTCTGGAAAGACAGAAGATAATGAGCAAGACTCGCGGCTTAGAACAGAAGTGACGGACTTTGTGTCGGCTAGACAGACAAGCCCCTAGTGCTGATGAGAGAGTATATAGCTTTCTCCAGGACAGCAAGAGAGAACAAATCAAAATATACACATCCATGATAACCGAGAAAGCCGACTACCTACAAACCGTATTGGGCAAGGCAAAAAGCTTGCCCGTGAGTCTCCCCTACTTCCAGGCCTCCTCCTAATATGGGCTGCCGGGTCACGTAGGCGGTAGCCGCCCACGGCACCACGGTGAGGTGGAGGTGTTTATGTATACTGTGACTGCTTGCGGTCCGCTTTGAACATAACTAGTTCATATTCTCTTTCCCTAAGCTACTAGTACTTCAACTTTTGTAAAGCAACCCAATCTACAAGGCAAAGCTTCATGAATTGCCGCAAGCAAGCCAACATCGGTGCGATAAACTTGATCCCTTTCTCATCTAATAATCCTCTAAGACGAGACTCAAATGTATAAGGACGTTTCCATTTACCAATATTGATAAATACAGGAGTAGAAGGCAAATAATCAATCGAACATACAAGGGCGTTCATATATACAGTGTACAAAACAAGTCATAAAATATATCACATCAGACTTGTTCGCCCTCCAATCTCATTGGCAGCCTCGCCGTTGGGCATCTCGCCATTTCGGCCGGCCACAAACTCACGGTAGATTCCTTGGAGACGTCTAAGCTCAGCTGGGGGAAGGGAACCACGCGTGGTTGCCAATGAGCGCTCAACATGTTCCCAGCGGACGATGATATCCTCATGCAGCTCGTCTGCATCGGGCTCAGTGCCGTTAGCCACCGGGGCCGCGGCGTTGTTCGCACCGGAAAGTCCCTGCTCGAGCTGGCGCTGGCGGCGACGTGAGTTCTTGATTGCCTCTAGCTTGGCTGAAATCACTGCTGGGGCTGGCATGGAGACAGACCCAGATGCTTCCTCTGAAGAGGAATAGAGGAACTGGATGAAGGACTTGCTAGAAGCATTGGCGGAGGAGTTGGACTTGGAATTGGGCTTCGCTGCATCGGTAGAACGGTCACCTAGCGTGTCGTGGACTGCCTCTAGATGGGCGTTATACACGACAGCCTGCAGATCTGCACCAGAGAATCCTTCGGTCTGGGTGGCAATATCACCAAAGCGAGACGTGACTTCGTCACTCATCTTGAGCTTTTCACTCACAGATCGGATGATATCAACACGGTCTGCATGGTTGGGCATGCCGCAAAGAAGGGACTTGTCGAGACGGCCGGGACGAAGGAGGGCAGGATCGATCAAGTCGGGTCGTGATGTTGCTGCCAGCACATAAACGCCAGAGAGGCCTTCTGCGCCGTCCATTTGTGTCAACAACTGGTTGACAACACGGTCTGTGACACCAGTGGAGTCATGCCCACGCTTGGGTGCGATACTGTCGAACTCATCAAAGAAAAGGACGCAAGGGCGAGCGGCTTGGGCTCTTTCAAACAAATCGCGAACACTCTTTTCACTGGCTCCGATATATTTGTTCAAAATCTCGGGACCCTTGACACTGATGAAGTTCAATCCACATTCGCCAGCCACTGCGCTAGCCAACATTGTCTTACCGCATCCAGGGAATCCATAGAGAAGTAAACCAGACCGCAGTCGCAATGGGCACTGTGCGAAGATCGGGGCATATTTTGTAGGATACTGCAAAGTTTCCAACAGCATCTTGCGAGTTTCAAACAAACCTCCAACAGACGAAAATGTGGTTGTTGACGAGGTAAGAGTAACATTTCGAAGAGACGCTGGGGTAAAGTCCTTCAAGGCACTTTCAAAGTCCTCTAACCCTAGAGTGATCATCTTCGATGTTGCTGTCAGATCTGAGACAGAGCGAATGAGGGCCTCATTCCGCGCACGAGCAACGAGAAGCACAAGATCACCGGGCATATACCCATCGGTTTTGCCGGCCAGTTCTAGATACTCGACATCCCTTCCAATAACAAATCCATCACCCCCAGAAGAGCTTGGTCGGCTCCCCGGATTTGAAGGGTCCAACCATGAATCTTGTGTTGAGGAGCTTGTGGCCCTCACATGCCCATTTAAGCTCTCCGTGGGTTTATCTTCGCTAGTAAGTTTTTCCAAAACCTTTCGGCGTCCTTCCTTATCAGGGGATCTCATATTGATGATCTCACGGACGACATGGCCGCCTATAATAACATTATTGAGGGACTCTTTGGCCTGTGCAGTGGCCAGTAGCACAACAGAGGAATTCAGCGCGCAATATTCTCGAACCATAGAGCAGATAACCTCGCTGTTCTGGCGACTGCGGCCATTGTCACCACCCACCTGTAATTCAGTCTCCGCTGGGCAGAGCTTGTCAAGGTCTTCAAGGATCACGACTGACTGGCCACCAAGACGCGCACACCATGATGCGGACATGAAGAGGCGATTCAAGGTCTCTTTGATGTTGGAAATACGTGTTTCATCTGTCACGAGCTTGCGGCAGGAGAAATACTTGACATTGAAGAGATGATCTCGTCTTAGGCGATGAGCCAGTAGATGGGCAAGAGCTGTTTTACCGGCACCAAGACCACCGGTCAGCAAGATAGACGACGACTTTGTTAGATTGTTCAATGACTGTTCAATGAGAGAATCAATCCCTACTAATTCAGGGGCAGTTTCTGGAAGAGGGTCCTCCATAGGTAGCGCCTGCGAACTAGGGTCAAATGGCTTGGGGATTTCAGCCTGCACTTCAAGATTCAGCTTGGCTTCGGAGCCTAGCAACCACCCAAACATTGACTTTGTTTCGTCAGGAGCTCCCTTCAAAGGGGGATCAAAGCGAATAATAGCACCATCGAACGAAGAGACTGAAGGGTGATAGTCAGATTTGGGTATAATCATTCCATCAGTCAAAGGTCCCGAGAACAGCCCTGTGTCGGACCCAGTGCTGCCGTAGATGACTTTGAGGCGCTCGGCTAGGGCATCGCGAGATGCCGTAGTGTCGGCACCGAACTTCAGCCCGTCCTTCTTCTTTAAAGAGTCGCCTATGAAAGGATAGACTTTGAGGGTCTTGACTGCCGAGCGATGCAGTGGTGGGGGTGCTGCTTCAACTCGGATGATTCCTCCAACCATGTTCTCTGCACCAAGGGCCGTGCACAACAAGGTGGAAAGCGCCACATGCCGATTGTCAGGAGCCTCCTCCCATGGAAACAATTTAGCCACGAGCTTGGTTGCAGGGGCACCAGAATCATTGGACTTTTGCTGTTCAGCCTGAGCAAGTTGCTGTTGGGGATCTGGTGGGGGTTTGAGACCGGATGGCTGGACAACCGACACGCATGCCCAAGTCGCTCCGCGCAGCTCATGGCTAGCCAGCAGATCCGGATCAACCCAAATACGAAGGCCCTGATTTGCGTCATCTTCTACTTCCTCGTCAAAATATTGAGTGGTCGCTGAGCGGTCTACGCCTCTCAAGTAGAGGGAGCCTCGTGTACTGGAGTCGGACCGACCACTCTTCGGGCGTACAGTGCTCGAAGCACTCCTCCCACCAGCACTCCTCCTGCTGCTACCAGTAGCGCTGCGGCTGTCAGCCCGAGAGCTTTTACTCGTCTTAGATCGAACCTTGGGAGCCACTATGACTTCTGCATCCGGCGCGATTTTGGCGAAGGGGGAGGTATCTGGGGGAGCGGGTGTAAGAGAAGTGACGACAATATTGGCGGTAGATGTGGGAGAGAGATGCAATGCGAGTGGGTGCATATGCATCGATTGAGCCGCATTGTATGTAGGATTGGGTAGAGCGCGAATTTGTGACAAGAGGTTAAGCTCCAGGAATGTGGCATGGAGCTCAATGACTGGTTATATCGAGTAAGTACCACTCTAATTATAGCTGCTTGTAGCTTGTACATACTCTCCCAGTCTTCTGGTGTCAATGGCTCGATGTTTATCGTATGTGCAACGGGTGGATCGAGGTGGATGAACAATCCGACCTGCAAGTGTTAGCGCCCCACGTGGGTAATGACGCACGGGGAGTATTGTACCTTCTGGCCTTCTGTGAGACCAAGGAGTCGCCCAAAAGTAGTATCAAGCTCAACGGTGGATACTTCCTGCTCCCTGGAATATCCACTGTTGATACCGTCCCTCCCAACGACAGGCGCAAGCCTGCGCTTGCTCGGCATACCCGTCCAACCGAGGAAGCATGATTGCTGCGGAGGAGCTCCATTGGCCTTTCCGGAGGTCGATTTATATTGTAATTCGATAATAACATTCTGAGCAGTCTGTTATAGCTAGAAGTTAGCCGAAGATAACCTACGGAAACAGAACAACTAGCAGACTGACCGTGTTTGCATTGACCAGCAGGGCGACCAGCGACGGCGGTAGATTAACAAGACAGTTCTTTAGGGGGATAAGGGCGACTTCGGCCGTCGCAGCAGGCTTCTTGGGCGCCATTTTGAAGCGCTGAACGATCGTGGACCCCGGAAAGACAAGGAGGAGAGCGAATCGTGAACTCGTAGAAACGCGACCCCGGACTCCACACTACATCTCTCTTTCGCCTCGGCCCGATGACGAGTCATGTGATATATTGTTAGCGGATAAAGTGATAATCC